TCCACTCTGATGTTTCCAATCAAGCACAAATTCAGCTGCAAGCCAAGTACACAAAAACCTGCATAAAATTTAATTGAAGCAATCGGCTTTACTGCTTTTTTATGGATAGGAGTAATCATCCACGCCTCTTTCAGTAGGGGATTTTATGAGTTTCGGTGTTTCACATTTCATTAATTCGCCCGAAATTCCTTCTGCTCCAGCAGCTTTGTCTTCAAGATTTTTCACAGTGTATTCCAGATCAAGATTATAATCTGGCTTGCGGCTCTTCTTCCTAATTTAAGCGAATAAATAGCGTTCTGTTTTTGAGGATTAATCGTGGTTTTAGAGAATTTATTGTATTTTGTGGGAGTAGATGGCAACCAGGGTTGTAGTTTTTATTTGATAGGAATTATGCTGCTCGCGTGTGCAGGTTTTCTGATTTTTTGGATCGGATTTCTGTTTCGTTTTTGGCGGATTTTATGTAGCCGCTTACGTTTCCCTTGTGCCCTTGAACTACTCTTACCGTCTGAAGACGATTACGCATTTTGCTGGGACATCATTGTTTTCAGGCACAGCAGAGCAACTTTCGAAAACCCTACTTCTTTTTATTAGAGTTCTTCTAACAGCTTCCCAATGGGGCACGTGTTATTTGTGTCGTGTGAATGGCACATGAAAATCTAATGGCCTCGTTCGTTATTTTTTCCAACCTTGATCCTACTGCGGTTTTACGTCCAAAAGTCCATTTCCTGCTTGTTCTTCAATTTCTTGTCCCCATTCTATCAGGCTTTGAAGACGGTTTTTGAAGCAGAAAACGAAAACCTATAAAAAACCTGAAGCTTCCAGACACAAATCTGAAGATATCCGCCATAACGTCCACGCAATATGTTGCAATTTCAATAGAACAACAGCAACAACAACTAATTCTTTAAAAAACCCGACACTTTCTGAAATTTTCGGCAGTTTTCCTGTTGAAAGTGTATGTCACCGCAAAAAAACGACTGCTAGAGGAAAATTTACGCAAAAATTAAACAACACAAAGACCGAAACTGAAGCGAGCAGGACTTCCTAGTGTGCCTCGGGGACCATTGAAATTGTACAAATAAACCCTGAAGATGTCCAGACTACACAAAATGGAAATAACAGAGAATGTGTTTTCAATAGCGCAAAAATTTGTAGGAGCACGACGACAAGTTGAAAAAACAATTCACTCCCGAAAGTCCTCTTCTCAATGAAACGCCTAGAAAAATTATACCTCGTGGAAAGTGGTAGACTTTCTAAGACTAAAGGGTAGCTTTAGGTTACTTTAGCTACAAAATTTTCGTTGTAGCATCAAAAGCTACCCACGAGGCAAAAATTTTACAAAACCAAATGCTTGTAAAAAACCTGAAGCTGAAAAAGTTTAACGCTGATCCTACACAGAATTTGAAAATTTTAAGTGGTCTAAAAGAAAAAAGCAGAGCAACAGAAACCAATCAAATCGTTAACTGTTGATTTTTCAATAAAACAACTCTTTGCACTGGAACACGACTTTTGGTAAAGACTGAAAACCTTATTAGAGAGCTCAGGAAATCGATAAATTCTTCAACTCACTTCTTTGTCTTTTCGGATCAATCAAGAACAAGATTCCACTCTGATGTTTCCAATCACGCACAAATTCAGCTGCAAGCCAAGTACATAAAAACCTGCATAAAATTTAATTAAAGCTTGCTTGCTGGCTTTACTGCTTTTTTATGGATAGGAGTAATCATCCACGCCTCTTTCAGAAGGGGATTTTATGAGTTTAGGTGTTTCACATTTCATTAATTCGCCCGAAATTCGTTCTGCTCCAGCAGCTTTGTCTTCAAGATTTTTCACAGTGTGGTCCAGATCAAGATTATAATCTGGTTTGCGCATCTTCTTCTCAATTTAAGCGAATAAATGGCGTTGTGTTTTTGAGGATTAATCGTTGTTTTAGGGAATTCATTGTATTTCGTGGAAGCAGATGGCAACCAGGGTTGTAGTTCTTATTTGAAAGCAATTATGCTGCTCGCGTGTGCAAGTTTTTTTATTTTTTGGATCGGATTTCTATTTTGTTTTTTGCGGATTTTGTTTATAGCTGCTTTCGATTCTTATGCTCTTCAACTACTCTTATCGTCTGGTGTCGATGACGCATTTTGCTTGGAAATCATTGTTTTCAGGTACAGCAGAGCAACTTTCGAAAACCCTACTTTTTTTATTAGAGTTTTTCTAACAGCTTTCCACTAGGGCGCGTGTTCATAAAGAAGTATTGTGGCTCCTAAGGCAAGTGCGGCAGATTACATTTTTTACTTCAAAAAGTGTTTTTAAACTCATTGAATAGTGAACACTAGTGACCCTTACTTGATATCGAGGCCTGCCAACCACACTGGGAAAAACGGCTCTTGGAGCGTCGTCACCTGCAAATCCCGCTTTGCACATACCAGATCCGTTATCAACCACTAGGGCAGATAACTCTTCGTCCGCGCTCATTTTTTTTAAACAACGAAAAAACTGACCGTAAGAACAGGTAGGTACGCACACTTGAACTAATCCCGGTTGATAAACGAGTGGAGCATGTTGGTTAATTTTATGCGAAACGTTCACTGATTTCTTGACCGTTACTTGAGCCATAAATCGCTCCAGTCCAGAATTTGTAAATTAAAATTTTTGTTAATTACTTTTACCGCAGTCATGGTTTACTTCTCTTCAATAATATGTTGCCCGGTTTTTACGCATTAGATTAGTTAGATATGGTTTATGAGCAGATCTTTAGTCGAGTGAAAATAATCTGCTAGATGATATCAGTCGGAATGGCAGAATACGCAATTATTTGGTTAATGCAGTTTTACTATGTGGCCACCGCTAATTGACCGTTGAAAGTGCGGCTCAAGTCACTTCCACATGTGAAATTATGCTATCTTATATATTTTCCCCGATTTATTGGCCAATAAAGTAGGCCAACTCTTGCAGGTCAGTGCAGATGTGAACGTGAAGCCTGGAATTGGGCTGCAATCGATAAATCGTTCAATTTTTTTAGGTGAAACAGGCAGCGCATCGTATCTTTTTCTGACCGATTTTCAGAATTAAAATTCAGTTTCTGAGACAATGTCCAGCTTTTTAGCAGAGTGTTTTGTTAGAGTGCCAGAAGATGCAACGGTGTGATGTGGAGCCTGGAGCAAAACATGGGCAGAATGTTTATAAATAAATTTATAATATGATAAAACAAAACATTCGTATTTAAAAAATTGGAAACTATAACCTTCTAAAATCAATTGCTGCATTTCATAAATTTGAGCAATTTTTCCAATTTTTTTTTTAACTCACAAATCACAAATCAGCATTCTTCACTGCATGCATCGCATAATTAATAGAACGATTCGAGCTCCAACTCCAGTTGTTTGTCACAAAATTGTAAATCATTCCATGCATCAGCTTGGTCCGCAGCCCATCTGAAAGCGGGCGAACTCCCAGCAATTTCCTTTAAATCAGTGCGTCGCTACTCACTGTCCTCCAAGATCCTTTGGAGCTGGTGAGGCTTGACAAATTTCTCTGATTGATGGGTTCCTCGAGGAACCAACGAGAGCATGTTTTCAGCCATCCAAACCCCCAAGAAATGGGCTAAAAACGTGTCGTTCAGAGTGGTGATGAAAATCGACCCAGAAGGCTTCAGGCACTTTGAGCAAGCAGCAATAAAACTGGCCTTCTCCGTTACATGTTCTGTGAAACCAAAATGATCTACCATAAGTGCAGGGGAGAAACGTGCAAACTCAAGATGTTGGCCAAATTGAGAGGGTTTTCTACATTAAGGCATTATCAGGAAAAAATTGCCATGAAACCTTTCTAAATTTTATTAAATTGTTTGTAAAATGACTGCACTTTTTACCTGTATTCACAACTCCAGAACTCACCTACCACTTCCGATGCGACTACTGCGTCGAACTTGCCGATGTTATTCTGGCTAAACTCCTCCACAGATGAGCACATATAGTTAATGGCCAAGTTGTTGTCTTTGGCATGTTTTCTAGCCACATCCAGTGCGTTGGAGGTGGCATCCAGCCCCGTCACCACGGCTCCTAAGCGCGCCAGAGGCTCCGAAAGAATGCCCCCTAAACACTCAGCCTAACAATCCCAAGAGCAACTCGCGCGATAACACACTTACCTCCACATCCCACGTCTAAAACTGACATTCCCTTTAAGGGTGTAGAGGTTCGAACATGCACACTGGCGATACAGCCTTCATTAATCAAACCATCCCTCACAAGGGGTATCCTCAGTTTGTTCATAGAATGCAGCGGCTTCAGTGGTCCACAAGGGTTCCACCATTCGGCCGCCAGCTTTTGGAAATTTTCTACTTCCTCAGAGTCGATTGTGCCGACGGTTGAGAAAAGACTGAAAACAGTAACAAACTCGTTTGTATTAGTATCTATAAGCTGACGAATATTCAGGGACACATCGATGGTCATCCATTTCTTTGATTTTTTCATGTAGCTTATTATTGGTTTGGTCACTTGGCCACTAGCGAACTTTCGACGTTCGAAAATAGTTGTCCAAAATAATGTCGATAGAAGGTCAGAGGAGAAGATGCAAATTTGAAGAGACCCTTTACGTGGGGACGCACATTATCCGCACCATGAGGCTGGAGGAACATCTCAGCGGTCTAGAACACGAACTACCGAATATAAACTGGGATGCCATAGGGATCAGCGAAACAAGACTGAGCGAAAAAGCGGTCACTATTCTCAAATTTGAACATTCACTGTTCCAAAAGAACTCGGACACAAACTCACACATCGTAGGCGTTGCTATACTGGTTCACAAGAAGAAAAAACACCTGGTTACAAAGACAACAGCCGTGCCAAACAGAGTAATTTATATAATGATCAGGATCAACGCCATGTTTAGTATCCAATCATTCAAGCAGCTGCACCCACCTCCGCCTGCTCAGACCAATAAATCGAAGAGTTCTACGAAGATCGAACAACTGCAAAGAGCGCAGACAAGACCAAAACCTGTGTGATAATAGGCGATTTCAACGCGAAGATTGGCGCCAGATTGCCGATGGATCCTTCCGTCATCGGTAAATTCGGGTTGGGAACCAAAGAAGACAAACCATGATCGACTTTCAACAAGGAGAGGCTCTACTGCATGCATACCTTCTACAAAAAGCACTCCAAAAGACAATGGACTTGGAAGAGCCCCGATAACAGGATCAAAAACGAGATGGACTATGTTCTAACATCGAACCCCCAAGACAAAAACTCACTAAGGTATGGGGACCTGAATAAGATCGTGAAGAAAGCCATCAGGAAAGATCAGAGCTTATAACACCAGGATGACCGAGGAAGCCATACAGAACAACGCAAACATGAGAGTTCTCCGTTCCGAGAAATATAAGGGTGAAATGTTTATTCACAAGATGAAAAACGATCAGCGAGTCATTGAGAGTGAAAGAGGAAAGTTCGCAGAAATTATTGAGTAATCCTATCGACGACTATACAGGCCATCGGTGGCACAACCAGATCAAGAAGGTCAAATTCACCAGCCAGTCTAGGAGGACTCCATTGATGGAGAAGAACTAGAGGCAGCGCTAAAACACTTAAAGAACTGCAAAGCCCGGGAGTAGACCAGATCACCAGTGAGGTGTTAAAGGCCGGAGGAGAGGCACTCAGGAAAGCACTCCTGACCTTACTTAATAAGTGTTTAGAAGAAGAGAAAATCCCGGATTCTTGAAAAAACGCAGAAGTCATCCTATTATTCAAGAAAGGCGATTGCACAAATCTAGAGAATTTCAGCCCCATTAGTCTGCTATCCATCCTCTACAAACTACTAACTAAAATAATAACGACCGACTTGAGCAATAAATTCGACTTTTACCAGCCAGTCGAACAGACGGGTTTCAGAAAGAGGTACAGCACGACGATGATCATATAAAAGTGTACGCAGAAGGCTTTCGATTCAATCGAAACATCATACGATATATCTACAAATATGCTAACATGCTCGTAAAAATTGAAGAAAAAAGGGTTACTGCAAAAGTCAAGTCGCTTCGAGTAGAGGAGCTAGTAAGTGGTAGGGCACTCTTTTGTGCTGGAGTTGAGAAATCGGCTCGGAAGGCGGAGGAATCAGAAAATGTTCAACGGCATAAGGAGGTGGTAGACAAATGGGAATCCAACACATTAAAGAAGAAATACAAGATTCAATTTGAAGCATTCTGTAGAGTGAAAGTTAAGAATTTTTAAATGGAAACGGGCAGTTGAGTTTAACCTTCCATTTCTAGACCTGCGTTAATGAAGCGCGCAAAAATCGGGTTTAAGTGCGATTTGATTGAAATCTTCAAAGTTTAAAAATTCAAGTGTCTTCTATATGATGTACAAGATTCAACTTGAAGCCTTCTGTGGACCGAAAGTTAGGAATTTTTAAATTAGTGATCAGTTGAGTTAAACCTTCCATTTCTAGATCTGCGTTTATCAAGCGCGTAAAAATCCGGTTTAAGTCCGATTTGACTGAAATCTTCAAAGTCGAAAAATTCAAATGTCTTCTATATGATGTACCAGATTCGAGTTGCAGCCTTCTGTGGAGCGAAAGTTAGGCATTTTTAAATACTACTGAGCAGTTGAGTTTAACCTTCCATTTCTTGACCTGCGTTAATGAAGCGCGCAAAAATCCGGGTTAAGTGCGATTTGATTGAAATCTTCAAAGTTTAAACATTCAAGTGTCTTCTATACGATGTACAGGATTCAACTTGAAGCCTTCTGTGGAGCGAAAGTTAGGAATTTTTAAATGCTAGTGAGCAGTTGAGTTAAACCTTCCATTTCTAGACCTGCGTTTATGAAGCGCGCAAAAATCTGGTTTAAGTGCAATTTGATTATAATCTTCAAAGTTTAAACATTCAAGTGTCTTCTATACGATATACAAGATTCAATTTAAAGCCTTCTATAGAGTGAAAGTTAAGAATTTTTAAATGGAAACGGGCAGTTGAGTTTAACCTTCCATTTCTAGACCTGCGTTAATGAAGCGCGCAAAAATCCGGTTTAAGTGCGATTTGATTGAAATCTTCAAAGTTTAAAAATTCAAGTGTCTTCTATATGATGTACAAGATTCAACTTGAAGCCTTCTGTGGAGCGAAAGTTAGGAATTTTTAAATACTAGTGAGCAGTTCAGTTAAATCTTCCATTTCTAGATCTGCGTTTATGAAGCGCGTAAAAATCCGGTGTAAGTGCGATTTGACTGAAATCTTCAAAGTTTAAAAATTCAAGTGTCTTCTATATGATGTACAAGATT